AATAAAAGCACATTTTTATATAACATTTAAGAAACTCAACTCTGTATTGCTTGATTTTCCCTCTTATATCAATGATGCTTTAGGAAACACTCAGTGTGGGACATTCATTTAATTTATGAAATAATCAGGACACAGAGAAATGGTGTGATGTAAGGCATAACCTAAAGAACTAGAACCCGGGAGTAGAAGCTGGGTGTTCTCACCGGACATGTGCTAATTCCCTGAAAAATGCAAACACGTCCAGAGTCTGAAGGAAGGTTCCTGTAATGTGTTGCAAATTAAACTAAATTAAACTATCTTTTAATTGTACTTTTATTTTGGATAAGTTAGAAGATATAAATACTCAGATATAAATAGAATACTCCGTAATCTGTGGCCTAAAAATGCCAACTAATATGATTTTATGATTTTAAAGGTTAGGGGTACAGATATACAATGTTATTTTTCATGAAAGGGGATTATTGTACATCCAGTATTTCTTACATGCTCGTCTTTCTGTATAATATATTTAGATACTCCCATGACAACACTCTGTGCTGTGACAGCACTGGTCTCCTTCAGGTTGTTGAAGTCCTTTCCCAAGTTTCGCTTTACTCTTTCCTTCATCTGAAATGTTCTTGCCCCAAATCCTGGCCAGCCTGACTCACTGTCACCCTTCAAGTCACAGCTCTAATATCAGTCACTTTAGAGAAATCCTCTGACTTCTGCTGATCTTTCCACCCGCAGTGACTGTTCACAGCACTCCCTAAATCTCCACAGCACACTGGCTACTTCTTTTTCAGAAGGAGCTGTAACATCAGGTACATTGCTGATTTATGTGTCAAACTGTGGAGTGCTTATTCCTTCAGTCAGAATACAAGATTTAGAGCATCAAGGGTATTTGCTTCATGGCTTTATCTTTAGTGTCCAGAGTAATGCCTGTAGCAATCAGTACAGAACTATCTGCCAAAAGAATTAATGGGTGGATGAAGGACCGAGTGTTGCTTGGCTCTTCCCTTTCTCTTCATTTTCCTTTTGCTCATTCCACAGCAAGTCCCCTTTATAATTTCTGTTTCACTATAGGAACAGCCCAGTTCTCCCTGGCCTGCTCCCCAGATTCTGATTCCTGCTTTCTTTCATTCTAGGGGCTCTGGGAAGTAGATTATCTCAGGATCTCGGCCTTTCCTCATCCAACCAAATTTATCTTTATCAGAACGACTGACTCAGCTGTAAGGTGAATAAACTCATGACTCAACAAAAAGAAGAGACAGTCTCAATTAGAAGTTCCGAAGAAACACAAATCAATATCTCACAGAAAATAATTACATGCATGTGCCAAAGCTTTAGTTTAAACTATTATGAGCTGAAAAGTTCCTCAGGAAACAAATCCAAATAATTTTTGTGGACAGTTTATTGGAAGATTATATTTTAAAAAGCTACTGTTAACTTTACCATCTATGAAATGGCCCAGTGGAAAAAAAGTAGTCTTTTCTTGTTGGGAGCCACCACATTGCCGAGCCGCCGCATATAGCGATCATGCGGCCTGTGGTAAAGAGTAAAGCCTGAGTTAGATTACCCCTCCCATCGAGCACGTTAGTTTCCTGCTTACCGCGTAAACAACCCGCTCAATAATATGTTAGCCAATCAGCTTGCCTTGCTTACTTTAATATGATTGGACACTGTATCCGTATATATACTGGTGCCACCCCTGGGGGGAAGTAGAAGCCCGGAAGGAGCCGCGGAGAGCGGACCGGTAGAGGCTTCGGAGCGAAGCCCGAAAGGAGCCGCAGAGAGCGGACCGGTAGAGGCTTCGGAGCGAAGCACAAAAGGAGCCACGGGGAGCGGACCAGAGGAGGCTTCGGCTGGGAGCGATCCCAGGGCAGGCTATACAGAGAAAAAATTAAAAAAAAGGTTGTCCACTGCCAGACTTTGTCGTGTGTCCTTCCTGCCGGCCAAGAGCGACATCAACATTTTCTGTCAAAAGAGATACCTCAATTTTATGAAAATCCTTATTTTTGTTCAATCTTATTTTTGTGAAATGTACTTGTTTCAGCATTTCTTAAAAAGCTGAAACAAAAGGCTATGTGCCTGTCAACCTGGTGTAAAACTTTCTAACAAAGGGCTTTCCAGATCACAGAACCAAGCCTACCTAACAACTATGATCTCATGGGACAGTCATTGGGGTTACGTTGTAAGGCCACACTCCTGCCAACAGAGTGAGACACAGTGGCCACCGAGCTTCAGAGATAAAACCTGAGCAGATGCCTGCTCAGCGTGCTTGCTCTGTTAGTGATACAGCCTTCAGCAGAAATAGTTTGTCTTGTTGAGACACTTTCAAAAGTTTGTAGTTTGCTACGTCCTGTTTGCAGCACCAAACAATTTGTGCCCAGCAACTGTTAGACTACTAAAAGATTTATATTTATGGGCACATAGAACACTAATTTTGCTGAAGGAGTATTTATTTCATTAAATCACATCAGAAAATAACTCAGCTATAAAGAAAGATTGCGTGGAGGCTTTTTACAAGTAAATGAATGCTACTTGAGAGCGTACTTACAAGGGAAACAAAACAAACTCTCATGTGTAAATACCATATTGTCTCCCTACTAGAGAAATATGAGTAAATATGATCCAAAAGAGTAAATATGACCCAAAATCTACAATAAATGTTGTGTAAGGGTAAGAAACTGTTCAAAGGGGAAAAGTAACTGGGATGGGAAAGAAGGAAAAAAGGAAGGAAAAAGGAAAGCACGTAAATTTGTGTTTATATGCATCAGTTAGCTAAAGTGACTATAATACTAATTCTATTAGGTCTTGAAAAAAACACTCAGTACTCATATGATTAGATCAGTTTGGTGTGTCCATATCTGGTAATCAAAGTAACCCTTTTGAGGGTAAAATTATACAGTGTTACAATGATCGCTGAGTTCCTATCATCTTGTTTTGAAAACACACACTGTCACTGTTTTGGGTTTGTTGTTGTCTCTTTTGCTCTTTGTTTTTCTTTTCTGTCTTTTTTTCTCTTAAATAAATAAATAAATAGCTTATGTACTTTATTAGAAGTGACATTTAATTCCTGTTTTTTTTTTTTTCCTTATTCTGGGGTTTCTTTGCCAGTTTTTTTTTTTATTATTCACAATAGCTTTATAGTATATTTTCAGATCAGGGATTATGATGTCACCTGTCTTCTTTGTTGCCCAGGATTGCCTTTGCTGTTCTAGGTCTCTTCTGGCTGAAGATGAATTTTATGAATGTTTTCTCTAAGTCTGTGAGATATGCTGTTGGAATTTTGATTGGGCTTACATGGATTCTGTGTAAAAGTATTGGATATATGTCCATTTTTACTACGTTATTTCTTCCTACTCAAAAGCATGGGATATCTCTCTATTTTCTAATATCTGCTCCAATCTCCTTTTTCAGATTACTGTAATTTTCAGTGTAGAGGTCTCATATCTTTCATTAAATTGATTTATTGGTATTTCATTTTTTGAATGCTATTTTGAAAATTATTGATTCTCTGACTTCTCTTTCAATGAGTTTGTTATTCATGTACAGAAAGGCTATTGATTTTTCAGTGTTGACTTTGTAACTAGCTATATTACTTAATTTGTTTGTTAAATCTAGAAGTCTTCTGGTGGAGTTTTTGAGGTCTTCTAAGTAGAGTATCTTATCATCTGCAAACAATGATAGTTTAAGTTCTTCCTTTCCTACTTATTCCCTTTATTTCTCTCTCTTGTCTAATTGTGCTTGATGAGGTCTCTAGGGCTATGTTGAATAAGAGCAGAGACAGTGGACATCCTTGTCTTGTTCCTGATTTTAGTATGAAAGCTTTCCATTTCTGAAAATTTAGTATACTGGAGGTTCATCAGCCATTTTGATTTATCCAGCAAAGGCTGAGACAAAATACACTGAGTTTATCTGAAGCAGAATTTAATTAAAGTTGCTTTTGCAGAGTTCTAAGCAGAAGCATAAAAGCAACATGTAGTAATAACCAAAATCCTATCTCCTGTACCCATGTCAGAAGTATGCGATAAATCTCAGAGTAAAGACAATTAGTATACACAGTTTCATGCATTGTAGCCCACATGAGGAGTTTGAACTCACATGCTATTCTCTGGTTTATCAAAGAGAGGCCAAAGTTCCGCTATTATTCCCAAAGGAAATATATTCTGTGTTCTCTTTCCCCAGACCTGAAGGGAATTTTAATTCTGCTTTGGAGTTAGTGTGGAACTACTTACTTTGGCATTGCACCACTTTGTTAAGACACACTGTACACAAGGAGATAATATAGTAAACATTGTTCCTTTTCTGTTAGTTGGTTCCAAATACCCTGTAATACTTTCATTCTCTTGCATGGTTTTACACTGTCATGTTGTGTTTGGTACTATAATATACAAAGTCATACTCAAATATTACAAGGAAAGAGATACTGTGGTAGCTGAAACACTATGTTGCTTAAATTTATTCTGTTCTGACCTGTGTTATCATGTTGCTATGTCCTCTTTTATCTTAATCTCATTCATTTAAAAAACTTTTTAATAAAAAAAGATACGCTATCAGTTTTGAGTATTGGAAACTTTTTTTTTTTTTGTATTGGGGAAAGAGAGATTACAAGAGAGGCAGTGGAGTCATAAGTGAATGGCCCCATTTGTAAGCTTTACATGCATTCATAGACTACCCCAGCACTACTGAGGCATAATGGGAAATGTATTTGTATCCACACATGAAGATTGACTTGGAACAAATACTTCTTAATTGTTCTTAAGTAAAGTGTTTGTGTTTGTATTTAACAGTTCCCACTGGGGGCATTTTCCATATTTTATCTACCACTATTCTGAATCCACAAGATGGCAGCATCTTGTTAGGTACCCTGAGGATGGTTTCAACTGTTTCTTTGATGTTGTGTGTGTGTGTTACAGAAAGAAAAAAAAGGAAGAAAGAGAGAGAGATAAAGGGGAGGAGACACACAGATAGCGAGAGGGAGGGGGGAAGTGATCAGAGGAGGGGTCTGGTGTAGCTGGGTGACTAAGAAATCATCTTCTAATTTTGAGAACAGACACTTATATTCTTTGTTTCCTACAGCAAAATAATCAGAAATATTTGAAGAAGCTTTTTACAGTTTAAAACCTTCAGTGAAGAAGAACAGAACAATGGGATCCTTCAGTGTTTTCCTAGTGATCTTATGGCTTCAGTTCATCTGTAAGTAGAGTCATTTCTTTGGGAACTTTCAAGGACATTATGTAAAATTGTCATATGTACCAGGACTGTGGGATGAATATGAATGTTATCAATCTGCGGAAAAACAGAGACTGGGAAAGCACTGAAGAGATAATTTTTATCCTAAAGAGTATGCACCCGCTCCCCCAGTCAATCTGCTTTGCCTGTTGACTTTTTGAACAGGGGTGAGCAGCCAGCAGAAGGAGGTGGAGCAGAGTCCTGAGACCCTCAGTGTTCCAGAGGGAGACACGGCAGATCTCAACTGCACTTACAGGGACAGCAATTCTAACATATTTAGGTGGTACCGACAGTACCCAGGGAAAGGCCCTGAGCTGCTGATATCCATATTCTCCAATGGTGAACAAGAAGATGGAAGATTTAAAGCACAGCTCAACAGAGCCAACCGACATATTTCCCTGCACATTGGGGCCTCTCAGTCCCTTGACTCAGCCACCTACTTCTGTGCAGTGAGCACACAGTGCTCCCCAGGCACCTGCAGCCTGCACTGAAACCCAGCCAAGCCTGAGGGCAGAGAAGTCCTCTTCCTGCTCCAGAAGCACTGGGAATGATGAACAATAATGTGGGGTAACCTGTGGGTGGACAGGAAACTATTTTAATAATTCTGTGAATACTCACCTTTAAAGGGAAACTGTAGGCAAATATTAGCTGGTACAGATAGTTTTTAGTTTTCTATTATTATTCTAAAAATTTTATTGAAGGGTGGACAAACACCTACACATATTTAATATGTATCTTTAGAAGACTGAAACTAAATAGACAGCCATGAAATTGTCGTTATGTAGATAGAACCATTCCTTACAAGTTTCACTATTTTTGTTCTTTAAAACTGACATGGGATTGTTATACAGAAAGGTGCACATAGGGCATACATCTTGATATGGACTCTAGCTTTACATCACAGCTTCACACAAAGGATTACCGGGTGATAGATTTTATATATGAAGGAAAATGTTTTAATATGACAGGTATTTACTTATAGGCAATAAACTTTTTTCTGCTCAGTTGTTATACCAGTTTAATACACTACCTTTGGAATACATTGACAAAGCAGAAATCTAAAGAGAAGAAAGATGTCATAAAAAAATTCACAAATTTTAAGCCATAAATTCTTTTAGTGACAGATCTCCCACATCATCTCCACTCTCAGCTCCACCCTCAGCCGTGGGTTAGGTAAGGACCTCGGGTGGGCAGAAGGAAGGGTCGTAGAGTCAGATGGTGAGAATTGGTGAAAACTGAAATGCTCAGGACTCTTTTCAGAGATTTAAAATTAGAGAGTTTCCATGGTCTTGCTCTTGAGTCCTGGATGATCAGGTCTCAGAGTTTCTGGCCTGAGTCTTGCTTTCTGAGCCCTGGTATGTTGCATGAACATCAACCACAGCCACACGGAGACCCACACTCCAGGAGCGCATGAGGGCACAGAGTGACTCCAGGCCTCTTAGAATCTCTGAGAATGTGTCTGGAGTAGCTCTAGATATCAGAGGATTCTGTTCTGTTGACTAGAGACCTGCTTAGAGGAGCTAAGGTAGACTATATGGTACTGAGAGCCTTCTAGATAATGTTCCTTAGGAGAGCTGGAATTGGTGAGGCCATATGTTTGTCACCTAGCCTCGCCCCTCTGACTTTTGGGCAATATGGATTTGCACTCTTGCTTCCATGTGCTCAGGAAAAAATGTTTGTTGATTGATGCAAATAAGACATTATAAAAGATATTAAATTGAGTGATAGGAAATAAAAGTAAAGCTGCAGTGACTATGAAGCTGGTGTGGAGGCCTGTTACTCATGATGCTGTCTGTGTAGTTCATTTGTCCAAAGCTTATGGAAGTAGAAAATTAAGATTCAACCCAATCAGGGCTGACTTCAAATGTTCAGTATAGATTTTGAAGATTCTTAAATATTTATTTCCCAGTTTTGGAAAATACTTGAAGTTTGTTATACTGCAGTGGAGACTTGAAGGGAAATGAGGAAGAACAGATGTTTATGCTGAAGTCAAGATATTTATCTTTCAGTTCCACTTTTCTTAAGTGCATTTTATCATAATGATATTATGGAAGAAACCAAGGTAGTGATACCAGTTTCAACAAGTGTCACGTCATTTATGTCGTTTATTGATTTATTATTTATTCATCTTTTGAGACAAAGTCTCACATTATAGTGTAGGCTGGCCTAGAACTCATTCTGTAGCCCAGACTGGCCTTAAACTCACTTGGATCCTCCTGCCTGAACCTCCCCAGTGCTGAGATTACAGGTGTGCTCCACCATACCTGGGAAGCCACTTGATCTTGGGCAGTGCTATTATACATATATTTGAGGATTGGTTTCACAGATAAATGAAGCAACACATTGACATAGGTTTAGTCCCTTAAACAAACTCTAAAACTGAAATCCTTTTTCCCATGATATATCAAGTAAAACAGGTTGAGACGGAATCAGCCAGAATCTTGATTCAACCTGATTCTTGTGCACTGCCCCACTGGGCTGGTCCTTCTAAACTTGAGGTGGGTAATAAATTGTTCACTTTCTGAACATTAGAATCAAATGCTGGAGTCTCTCTTGCGGAGAAGGTGTACAGCACAATAGTGACTAACACTGGAAGAAAACAGCTTTACAGAGAAGATTGTCAGCTGAGAGTCACAAGTAACCAACCCTCCCAGCAGCTGGGTACAGATCACACTGGCCTGGGAAAAAGATTTCGGTTGAGGTCAGCAGTGTCCACTGTTAACATGAAGCTCCCTTACCACACTTATCATGTACTTCCTTACTACTGTGTTTATATTTTAATTTCTTCACTCACTTAATGGGGATGCGTAATTAATCACACTATTCACGGGGAATGGGAATAGTTTCAAGTACTTGTTAACAGAAAGAATGCAGGTGAATATAAGACCTTGCTATTCAAAGCTGAATTCCAGAAGTTTTTGAGGGTAAGGGCCTAACATATTGTTTCATTTCAGTGGAGAACAATGCTATGACACCGTGCCTGTGGCCTCCATCCCAGTAGAAATTGTTTTTGATGATCCATGATTGGTAATTTTGGGTTTCTTTGTATAGAGAGTCATAGGAAAACAGACACCATCTTGCATAGTCATGAATAGAAAACATTATTTTGTTCTTGGATTTTATGTAGGAATGTCAGACTGGATAGAAGAATATCGGTGTGTCCCAGGTCCCCACAGGTTCCTCTTGGATGGGGCTGGCCAGCGGTGTGGGTGTGCTGCATCCACATGAAAGGGGAGAGTTTTTATAGGGTGAAAAGGAGAGGGTGTCTGGAAACTCATTGTCTCCTTTTCTTCCCTGAACCATGTGGGTGTGAAGACAGTTTAACTCTGGCAACTGTCACTGGAATCTTTAGCTTTTCCACGAGACTCCTTGTATTTTGTGGTTTTGAAATTCAGTATAATACTACCTAAAATATATCAATATAAAATTACCATTTCTTCCTAAGTAGAGACAATATGAAACACTAGGCAGCAGACACCTTAAACCTGGAGCTCTGGGCTTTAGATACAACTAGGATTAAGAGAGGAGCAGGAAGAAGAAAGGACAAAAACAACCTAAATACTGAAGAGTAGATAACCAAATAGTCCTCCCTCACCTTGGAATAAATCCATCAGCAGTCTCCTTCCAGTGTGGCCTCATCTTCTACCTGCCTGTGCTAGGAAACATGGATGGAAAGAAGCAAAGGCTTCTTTGAGCTCAGCTGGACACACCCCAGAGGAACTGCTCTGGCAACAGAGCCCAGACTGGTCACTCTTACACAAGTGATGGGGTCTTTTAGGGTGACAAGGAGAGGCTGTGGCTAACTGCAAAGGACGAGGCTTGAGGAATGCTTACCCACGGATGAGGCTTGGGAAAATCCAGGGTGTAGTGTTTGCTGTCAGAACCAGGGCTGAGTAAGTACAGGATTCGACTGTGCTGGGGTAGGGCAGGGGTTACAGTGGTCTTAGTGAGCCTAGAATGGCAGTAGTTGGATTTCTTTATTCCAGAATCTATGGTTAAACAGGAAAAATGGGCAGCATGTCGGTTGCTTAACTGCTGCCTGCCAATTCGGGACAGCAACAGTCAAGATTTTGGTTTTAGCAACTGCCTGGGAAATGATGGCGGTCTCATTGGTGGGATCTCATTGAAATAGTTTGATTAGGCATGGTAATAATAAAAAAGGCAAATAAAACAAGAACCCAGGAGATTAAAGCCCATATGACCAAAGCAGGAGCTTTTTTTGAAGGCTGTGCTAGGCTGGAGTAGCCATGGTAACCAGCTCGCTCATAGATCTTTAGCTGGAAACTGCCAGCAGGGGCCAGTGACTGGAGGCTATATTACTTCTACTTTTTATTGTGAGGCTATATTGCTATTAATTTTATATCCCTTTGGTTTTACTTTTCTTTTGGGTGTTCTGTGTTAATCAAAACCAACCTCTTGGTACCTATTGAGGTCATGGCTGTGCGTGTTCCTGTGGATTCCAATGAACGCATGGGAGAGGTTTCTCTCTGATGACTGTCCTTTTCAGTGCACTGTACTCTGGTTAACCCCTGTTCTCTGGAATTCAATAATCTACCTGCTCAGGAGGTAGAGGGTCTCATAAAAATGTAGGATCCTGTAGAAAAGTACCCTCATGTCCATGACCCTTGTTGACCTTGGAGGACCAGGGTCAAAGCATTGGCTATTTTAGCTCTCGCCTCCAAACCTCAGTTGTTGAACACTGAAGACCTCATTTAATAGTCAGTATTTTAGTGGGGGCAGTGGGTTTAATATTATAATTTTATCTAGGCAACAAGCACCTTGACATATAAACGTGACCAGAGAGTTGTTATTAACTTACCAACAGAAGCTGAATCCCTGCAGAATGTTAGCAGGTAATAATTGCAAAGCTTTGTACAGAGGACTTGGGATCAAGGACAAAATAACTTTTGTGTAACAATCATGATGAACTCCTCACAGGCTTCTCCTTCTCTCCCTCCATTTTTGGTCTCAGATTGTTATATTTTAAATGTGACTGACTGCCAATAACTCTTCAAAAAACTTTGAATCAGGTCTCTTTACTTAAGCAGCAGATGACTGAATTAACCCCCTAATTGTAGTCTAAGAATTTACAAGTCACAAGAAATGTTTAAGTGTATTAATTAAACAAAAATACCCATAAAGCTTTGTTTATCATTTTTGTTTCCTTGAGCCTAGAATTTGTATTTTCCACTTTGATCTGGCAGTGGAAGGACTAAAAGAGTGGTGGGGCCTGCACAGGAGCCAGTTACTGGCAGAGAGGGCAAGTTTAGGTTGCTTTTACAGCTCTCTGGGATGCATCTGCAGGAGGAGGCAGTGCTGTTCAGAGGGGCAGAGCAGGTAAGCTGCTGTGATGCAGGCTCAGCTCCCAGGTCAGGGTGAGAGTTTAAGGGGTTTCAGGTGGGCAGAATGAGTTCTGCAGAGAGCGGGGCAAGAGGAGGGAGCAGAGAAAGCTTGAGCATAAGGAACTTCCTGCCATTTGCCATTTCTCTGCAGGTAGTTACTAAAGTATTGAAGAATTTGGAAATCAAACCTGCCAAATTCAGGCCATCAGCTGTTACTGTGCCAAGTTATGTGAACCAAATATCCTCATTTAAATTGAAGAATGAAATACATTTTAAGAGGCATCCCAAATGGAAATCTGCTGGAATCTGAGAAATTTTGGAGCCCAGAGTGACAAGAGAATGGCCAGGAGTCTATAGCCTTGTGTAGGGGCATCCCTCAAACAGAACTGGAGGTCTAGAGATTCTCTAGTGTGTGTGGCCTGGCTACATGAAATAAGTTTTTTTCTGAGAGATGGGGCAAATGTTCGTGCTCCAGGTTCTGTGGGAGTTTACCACAGAACCCAACCCTGTGGGTCCCCACTCTCCCACAGGTTTGCAATGGATTCATGCTTCCCAAAATGCCTGAGGAAGTGAGAGGGAAGGGATCTTATCAGTGTGGCTGGATCATGAAGTATTGGTATTGATCATTGAAGTCTGGTATTGAGTGGAGGGCTAACAGGAAACAGCAAAAGACTTGCTGGAGTCATGAAGAAAAGAAGGACAAAGGGAGAGAAAGAGAAAGAAGGAGAGAGAGAGAGACAGAGAGAAAGAGAGAGAGAGGTCAGAGAGAAGAGGTAACAGAAGGAAGAGGCAGAGGACATTGGAGCAGTCCCCTTGACCATTTTACTTTTAGGGGCCACCAAAATGTTAGGGAAACAGGAGAAAAGAAACAGAGGTCCGAACGTTGCAGGAGAGCTTTATTTCAGAACAGAGCTGAGAGGGACTCCTCTGTCACTAGAGACCAGACAAGTCAGTCACTCTTCACCGGAATAAGTGCAGTGAGGGGAGGAGTGGCTGCCAGCC